TTTTTCAAGCACAAGGAATTCTTTATTTGAAAAAGCGAATTTACCATTGAAAACGTGGATCTTTAAGCTATTTTTCTATAGAGGCGTCATTTTTTCTACTCATTCTTTCAAATGTGAAATCCACTTATTCACTCACGCCAGCCTGTTTAGAAACTTGATAACTGCCCAACTAACAATTATCACTCGTATTAGAGTTGCAAGAATGATTATACAGTATTCCTTAAACAGCATTGTATACTGTAAGGACATTGGCAAAACCCTCTTAGAACAGCTATACCAGCGGAATGGGCACACCTAATAAGACACTTCTGTCATTTAAGAGGTTGTATAAGGGCTGCAGGTAACAGTTATACAACAAAAGTGTAAACCTCTTGCAGCCGCTATAGGACATTTGCGTCAGTGCAAGATTCAGTTTTTGTCAACTATACAACTATTCTGTTACGTGATTCTACTTTATTACAACCAAACTATTTCTTACGTATTGTATAGACGAAGTGAAGAATATATAACTAACACATTACAGTCATCTTGCTTACTTACATATCGGCCATTGTGAACAGGTATATGATAAACATCTACACTGTGATATAGGACTATTGAATTACTTGCGCAGCAAATTTTATTGTGATTATCGTGCAAATTAGTTACCCAATTTCTACGGGCTTCGTATTTGATTCATATTTTGACAATGATCAAAAGTATGTCTAGATTTTTAAGATGGAAAACTGAACTTATCTGCGTTAAATCTTCCACAAATCCTATATTTAGAACAAATACACTAATGTTTATCACTTTATATCTGTAATTTCGAACTGAAACATAATTATTTAATATTAAATAGAGGAATAAATGTGTCGTCCATGTTGTCTTTAGGTTATTAGAATATTTTGGTGTTGCCTGCAGGTGTTATACAACAATTTGACAAATGTCTGAAATGAAATACCGACAGAGTCGAATAATTTACCCAGAATTTGTACCAGATTTATATCTTCTGTTTGAACAGTTGATAAAACCTGTTGAACCAATATGCATGCGTTGTTTGTCTTAAAACATTGGTTATGGCATTTTAACAAAAATATGACAGCAGAAAGTTAGGTTGTGGTGAAGTTGTTTAGCAACATATTTAGGATAATATGTACAGCCTTTAACAGTTACTGAACAACAGTTGTATAAGTGCTTCCGTTGGGAGCAATTTGTTGGCTAAGGTAGTAAATTGCACACCAAAACAACAACGCTCGGGTTTGCTTTATAAACGTTACCATGGATGCCAAACATTTTGACTAACTTGCAAATATGCCGTATTAAATAGTTGTATAAACGTTTATGCAACAGTTAAAAATTTGCCCTATGAGGTGTTGTATAACTATGCTATAGGAATATTTTAAACACCTCATTTTAGAGCAAATATGTTGCAGAAAGCAAATTTGCATTTCACACAACATTAAGCCAGCATTTTGGTGTTCAGGCAACAACAATAGAGAGCTTTTATGGTTGAACGGTTCTTTTACCAAAAGCTTATACCACTACTTTGCTTGTTGGGTGTTCCTAGCAACTCCTCGTCCGTCTCGAACCGTTGACTGTGCCTAGGTGCACTTTCAATTTCGAAAACGCTATATCAGGGCTGTATATATTCATCAAAACCGGATGAGTGGTAGGACGCTGCTTGTTCGTCAAGTGCAGTACAGTACAGTGTTTTCAAATGATTAAACTGCTCAAGATTGCTGCGCCCCCTAGCAGCGAGTACGTAAAAAACATACGCTTGTCGGAATTTTTCATCGGAAGAGCTACAAAATCGGTCTAAAATGACTGACGAAATTGTACGTGACGCGACAGCTCATATTACTACATTACACTACATTAAATAGAATTACAATAATTTATCAATATGACGGCAATATATCATATTAGGTCGGTAAGAAAAATCATGCTACATAGAAGCCCCACCACGGTTTGCTGTATTTTACAGCGACGATAAGTGGGACAAAAGTGCATCTCTTGAATAATATTTGAGCCACAGAGTGGTTTATAACACGATGAATATCACTGACGCAAATTTAATACGGGGTTCGCAGGGTATTGAGGTTAGGAAGTTAGGAACTTCAAATTTTTCATAAATTCAATATCCAGCAAAGTTTGCGACCTAAGCGACGCGGTCAGTTTTTAATACCTTTCCCTATACAAATAAGGAATATATATACAGGGTGACAGGTAAATAGGTGTAAAACATTTTAGGAGGTGATAGTACAGCCCCTTTGCTATCAAAATTAGTATATAATACCCATATCCTATATTCAAAGGTTGAAAAATTATTGAAGATTTAAGATTTTTTTAAAAAAATCCATAACTCAGAGTAAAAAACTCGAGGGAGAAAAAAGTTAGCGGTTAAACATTTGTTTTTTGTGGTTTTGGGTTATTATTTCAATAATTATTAACTATTATAAATTAAAAAAGATTCGAAAACAATACCAAACAACGTATTTATTTTCATTCAAAAATGTTTAACTAAGAAAAACAAATAACGTTTTTCAGTAAGTAAGGTGTTTTACAAAAAAATCAGTATACAAAAAAACGTACAAACAATTTAAATAATATCCTTGTTTCATAAGGAATCTAAATTGGTATGATAAGTGCACAAAAACTGTGTGAAAGTGTTTTTGTGAAAATAATGTAAAACTGTAAGCTATGGGATAGTTATTATTTTAAACTACGGTTAAGTTACACGATTAGATTATTTACACAGTTGTACTACAGAATAATAAAAACTGACTAAAAGTTACTACAATTGGTAAGTAAAATACAATAATGAAATGAAGGTAAAATTCATTGCAATTGTTGTTCGAATTGACGCCCGCCGTTTCTTATGCAAGCCCGTAGTCTTTTTCTCATGTTGGTACGCGTGATGCGGCCAGTTAGTTGTCCTCTGATAGTGTCAGCAGTAGCAATAATTCTTTCTTTCGACTGTGCAAGAGTGTCTATGGGCTCAGCGTACACCAGTGACTTCATGTGCCCCCATAAATAATAGTCACACGGTGTTAAATCTGGGCTCATCGTTGGCCACGGTGTCCGTCCACCTCGGCCAATCCAGCGACAAGGATATTTCTCGTCCAGCCACTGTCTAACACCCAGACGGAAATGCGCGGGACAGCCATCGTGTTGGTAGATCATCTGCATCCTGATATTCAGAGGCAGGTCTTCGAGATACTCACAGATTTCGGATCTCAAAAAGTTTTCATAGGATTCGCCATTCAGGCTGTCAGGCAAAAAAACTGGTCCAATTAGATACGTATGAATGATTCCCATCTACACGTTTGCCGAAAATCTTCTTTGTTGGGCTCTTGGCTTTGCCATGTGGGGATTTGCCTCTCGTGGGGCCCAATAATGTAAGTTGTGATAATTTGTTGTCCCCTCTCTGCCAAACTTAGACTCGTCGGTCCACAATATTTTAGTTAAATAGTCGTTTTCTTCTTGATCCCGATGAAGCATGTATCGACAAAAATCAATTCTTCTTGCGGGATCTCCTTCTTCTAATACTTGAACCGGTGTGTAATGGAAAGGGTAAAGTCTCGCCGAATGCAAAACGAACCAAACTTTCCACTGAGTTAAACCAAGCTGCTTTACTATAACTCGTGTAGACGTCGTCGGGTCTCTGCCGTAGGATTCCAGTATTGCCTCTCGATCTTCGTCGTCAAACAACCGAGGTCTACCAGCATCATGACGTCTCTCATGAACCTGTCCACTTTCCTTGACGCGTTGGTACACAGAAGCAGATACTCGATGACTCGGTATTCGCCGATTCGGAAAACGGGTTTCGTATTCTCGCCTGGCTTCAACGGAATTTCCATCACTTAAACCATAACAAAACAGAATATCAGCGTATTCTTCGTTACGGTAACTCGCCATTATTAAAACTGATCAAAAAAGTAAAAGTACGTCCTACCGCGTTAAAGGTTGATATTCTACTGACTAACCTAAGCGTTAGTTCCCTTTCCTTGATCCGTCAGCTGTGTCAATTCATAACACACGCAGAGCTTGCTTCCGAGGAGCGACGACAGATTCCGAATACTTAAACCCGAATAACGGCACAGGGCACAAAAAATAACAAAAAGGGTCGAACCATGAAATGCTCGGTTTACCTGCTCAGTACAATGAAATGCGGTTAGCGGTCCTTTCTAGCAAAGTAATATTGTTTTGTTAAATGGTTTACTTACTGATATGTTATTATACCATTTTAGAAACCTAATGAAACGAGGAAGTTTTTGCAGTTATTTGTATATTTTCTTTATTATGATATTTTTGAAAAAAAAAAGACTTCTTAATGTGAAAGTAGAAAATAAAAATTTTCATTTAACATTTCAATGAAAATAAATACGTTTTCAGTAGTGTTTTCATATGTTTTTTTAATTTATGAGAATTATTTATTTAAATAATAATCTGAAACCACCAAAAAAAAGAATGTTTAATCACCAACTTTTTTTTATCTCAACTATTTTACTCTGTAATCTGAGTTGTTTTTTAAAAAAATTAAATCTTCCATAACTTTTTAACCTTTGAATATAGGGTATGGTATTATATACTAATTTTGATAGCAAAGGAGCTGTACTATCACCTCCTAAAATGTTTTACACCTATTTACCTGTCACCCTGTATAAAGTTGGATGCCTCCAGTATTAAGAATTCCGGACGTAAACTCACTTGGCTCATGGGTGGAAGGTGGACTCGAGGAACTAGATCGAAGATCAGATCAACAAGATCTACTTCACGAACATCTACGGAATCAACAGCAATATTTACTGGTAAAATGATTCCGCCACGCTTTTCTTGATGAAACCACTTTCAAGATTACTAAGTGCTCTCCCATTTGAGGAAGATCGGGGAGGTGTGACTCTCGTCCGCATCAGTCTTTCTTGCTCCAGAGACGTTATTTTGGAATCAGGCCAAAAGGACAATCACATACTGTTTCTATAAACGAATTTGACTTATTACAAAGCGTTAGTACTCACCCATTTTGCCTGGACTAACATCGAACTGCGCCGGTCCATCTTGAACGAATCCGGGTCTCGGGCATAAGTCCTACAATGAAAATTATATTACACAAAAACGAAAATCGACACAATTGAATCTCAGTCATATTAAAAAAAGTCCACAAAGTTGGGGTTTTCCTTTACACGACGTGTAGATCTTGAAAACATAAGCAATTTTTCTTAGTACCATATACACCAATGTCTTAAGGGAACCGAGATAAAGGGCTCTGCAACATCAAAAATATCTGAATACGTTCCTGTAGCCGCGACATCACCGAGTGGTACAAGGTCACTGGCTCAACCCGACGACAGAACAGGGTCGGGGTCAGTGTGTCAGGTCAGTATGCAACCTTCAACCGACGGTTACGATCACGCGTGTAGAGGTAATCGCGTAGACGAGAATCCCTCAACAAGCACTAGAGACGTGGGTAGAGAAGTGCAAGTATCAAAAACTAAAGTGTGGCAAACGCTGCGTGAAGAGGGGCTGTATCCGTTTCACGTCCAACGTGTACAAGCCCTTCAACCTGACGATTTTCCAGCAAGAGTGCGGTTTTGTGAGTGGTTGTTGCATCAACATGACAATAATCCGGACTTTTTGAAGTGCATATTGGTGACAGACGAATCTACGTTCACGCGTAATGGGGTGAATAACTTTCGCAACACTCATATTTGGTCATTTTCAACAAACATTTTCGGTGAATGTTTGGGCTGGCATGGTGAACGGTATGCTCATTGGACCATTTATTCTCCCAAATCGATTGGACGGGATGCAATACCTAGACTTTTTACGCAACATTTTGCCTTCCTTGTTAGAAGATGTGCCATTAAGTGTAAGACAATCAATGTGGTTTCTGCGTCTGCTCAGTAGCGCATCAGCTGATTTCATTTTCTGTTGGAGCGGTATGATTTCGGACAGAAACGTACTTAGCCCTTCTCGTCAACTGGAGAGTGAGTACTTTTTCCTTTATTTTTTTTTACTTGGTCGCCCTTGTTTCACTGCACATTACCTTTGTTATTTCAATGATAGTTGTTTCTGAAAAGGAAAACCCCAACTTTGCGGACATATATGATAGAGAATTGTTCACGAATTACTTGTCCATTTGAGCGGTGATACCTAGTATCTTGGTTGAATAGATTAACAAAGCCTGTGTAAAATAGGAAGCCTTTCATCAAATTAAATGAAATAGAAATTGGCACGTTGTAACTGAACCTGCCGCGTCGACTGTACTTCTATATCCGTCGGCTATTATCGTTTCTCTCAGACATCTACCGTCTCACTCTGTTTTCTGCGCATCTCGTGGCTCAAGCTGGATTTGCCGACCTGTGGCTGCGTGAAATGATCGTGCCAAAACCTGCATTTTGCCTCGTTTATCGGCCATAACATTTTTGCTATTAGTCGGATCTTTTCACGTGTGGTCTCATTTTGTAAGTCTCATAAATATCTAAAAATCTTATGGTTTTCGTTTTTCGTTCCTGACAACATTTTCGATTGAATCCCAAAAACACGTTCTCTCATTAACTGCTGTCAAATAAAAAGTTTTCCCACAAAAATTCGTGTACCCATTTTATACGTCCATGTTTTGAGTACACCCTTGAACAACTTGCATCAATAAAACCAGACATTACCATTATTACGGGAAAATTTGCTAATATGATTAGTATTAGTAGCTGTGATGGTATACGCTAAATGTAGTGTGACTATTGTGGGAAATATAGAAGTTCAGGGGACTGTGTCGCATCAATTAAAATTAATTTTAATCAAAATGAAAACAAAATATTAAAGTAAACGTTTGAACAAGCCTCCTTATTGGGTTTGACAGTAACCTAATCTATTACAGACGCCTGGGCGATATTTTGTGGTGTAGCATATTGGCAACGCAACAAATTGCGTCACCGTTGCTAGACAATGTGGTGATGACCTTCGATTTTCAGCCGGCTTCTATCTCTTTCTAAGATGTGTTGATATATACTTATCGCACTCCTGTCATACGCATTGAACTCAAGCCGTCATACAAACTTTGTTTTCCCTGTATACTGCATGCTAACGTGTGATACAACAGGATTAGACTCTCAGCAGCTCACTGCAGCGATGATGTGAAGTACGATGACATGACGGTCTTTGAACCTGAAAGATCGCCATGCGCTTTTGCTCTATTTTCATATTTTCCGCTGCTACAAACAGGTAGCGCTGTTGAAATGATCGGGTTGTTATCATGTGCGTCATTAAAACAAAACTAGTAGCTACCTGTATCTTTGCACGGGGAAGGCAAAAACACGTCCGCTAATCTAGGAACGATAAAAGCAGCTGCCCGCATCGACTTCTGTATTTGATTTTATAATAACGATGTACAAGTACAGTGAGCGAGAACAAAAAGTTCGCCAGTTTTGACTTGAGAAGCAATGAGCCGTATTCATAAAAGAGAAGCATATCCTCGGAAGCATAAGGTAAAAGTATAAGGTCTTGCTTCGGAGAAAAAGGTAGAAGTATAAGCATATCCTTGTTTTAATATTCATAATGATTAGCTTATACTCGCGAGGATATCCTCCAAGAAGAAGTAAAAGGTTGACTGGTATTTGTATCTTGAGCGACATATCCTGACTTGTTCCAGCTTGTAGTTGACGTGGTAGCTCGTTCACTCATCATCACTGACAGTTGTACTCCAGAGCTTACACAGACCGTTTCGTATTTTTACTGGATACAGTTTTTTATCAAATTAATAAGCATGTCATCCTCAAGTGATAAGGATACTACGTTATAGAAAATAATGGCAACGACCTGCAGTTCATCGCAGATGAAATTGCCATTGCTCCCATTATTTTGCAAAAGTCACAAGTTCCAAAAAATAAAAATAAGAAAGGACGATGCCTTGAAGAAGATGTTGAAAAAATACTAATCAACATCCGGTAAACCATTAGATACTAAAGGCTTAGTAAAAAAAATTAACAACATGAAATCAAGACTGAAGAAGAAAACAGATATAGAAAAACTGGTAATAAAGCAATTAAATTGTTAGATTGGGAAAGAGAGTTGCTGAAAGCTATGAAGAAGGAAGAGAACCATAAACCGAGCGCAGTGAGCAAACAGTTACTATTACAGCGCCCGCAATTCAGAAGACATTGCCACCAAAAAGAAAATTAGCAACAGAGAAATACGAAACTGAGGAAACCAAAGGGTTAACTACAAAGGAACTGCAACATCTAGTGATATTACAGCAGTACCAAACAAGTATTTTACAACAAGAGTATTATAAAATGAAATAAGAAATGATACAGCATCAGAAGCGACCTGTAACTTATGACGTTCACGAAAATAAAACTTATTTTAACTTATAAATACATTTTAATCAGTAAAACTATTTATTATAATACTCAAGTTTCTTCTTATTTGTTGACCAAGTTGGCGGAGAGGAAGTTCGTCATCCCCATGATTTCCTTCATCTTCATCTGAGTCTTGTTCATCTAACTCAAAGTCAGGATCGCCCAAGCTCTTCGCCACATTATGGAGTACAATACAAGCAATAATTATTTTCGGCATATTTTCCAACTTTACGCGGCAAACATACTGTAGGATAGGCATTTCAATTGGCCGAAACAGCGTTCAATTATAACACTTTCTTGTTTTAAAATCTTATTATAATTTATTTCTGTACCTGGAGTAGGATTTCTGAAGGAAGTCATAAGACATGGCTCAATACCATAACCGTCATCGCCAAGTAGTACAACATTTGCTTTATTTATTAGTTGTGATCTAGTCTGTGAATTTCTCCATATTCTGGAATCATGCACTGATCCAGGCCAAATGCCATCAACACGTGTGAACATCTCTCTGGTATCACAAGTGGCTTGCACATTTAAAGAAGGTTTCCCTTTTCGGTTGATATACTCATCTCCATAGCGATTTTGTTTCAGGATTCCTATATCTGTACAATCACTTACGCCAATTGCTGTCGGAAATGTATACATGCTTTTCCATATCCGCTTGTCCTCCACCAGTTCATGGTTGGTAGTTGGAAAATGGATCCACTCGTTCGACTGTGCAACTATGCAGTTCACAACTCTATCCACAGTCCGAGATACCGTGGCTTGACTAACTCCAATTTCCTGACCAATACGTTGTTGATATCCAGGGTCACCGAAATAGCGCAGACGTATCTTCATTTTATGAATACATGAAAGTGCTCCTCCTCGAGTTTCCTCATTCTCAACTAAAAATCTGTCCGCAAGAAATTGTACATTTGCTTCGTCGAACCGATACAATTTTTTGAAGTCACGACCTAGTGAAGATAAACGAGGTTTGTTCGTTTTAACATCCCCCACATCCACAATTTCCGCCATCATCGTTTGACCACCTTTGGTTTCGAAGTTGAGTCTGCTACTGACCACACTCATAATTTTTGAAGATATGCTTCCTGTGCCAAGTATAAGGTGAAGATTATGAATATCCTTTTACTTATGTCACTGCTTTGAAGGATATGCTTATACTCAAAAAGCAAAAGCATTTACTTCAAATTATTATAAATACCATCTGGAGGATTTCCTTCAAAATTTGCAAGTACAAGGATATCCTTTGTTTTATGAATACGGCTCAATGTCGGAATCGCTTAAAAATATACATCTCAAAATACTCTTCAAGGAGCAAGGTTTTAACTTTAGTTCAGGTACTTGGCGACCTCAAATACGAGTATTATAACAAGTTTTTATTATTAGTATCTATATACAGGGTGACTTCGAAGTTGAGTCATTTATTTTAACAGTGAGTAGATCTGATCAAAAGAAATGTTTTTTTCCTTTAACATTTTTCTGGTAAAATTAAAGTATCAAAGTTATAGCCCTTTAGAAGTTTGAGTACCGCCCTGTCTCAATAATAATATTATGTGCTCGTGTTTGGCAACAACGGCTATGATCCGCGTTATCGGTTCATCGCATCGGAAACAAAAAAGCGAAATAATTTGAAACGGTTATCACGATGTTTTTCGTCAGTCGGTAACGCGTGTGAATAGTGTCTGTTGCGTGGCTCAAACGAAATAAAAAATGGCACATGTTTATGCGAATCGGTTTCCCAATCGAGTGCAACCAACCCCTCGTGCCTTTGTTAATATAGTACAAAGGGCTCGTGAATCAGGAGACTTAAGACCTTACAGGGGAGGGCCTGCCGGTGCTCCAAGACCGCACGATCAAATACAGGTCCGCACTGAAATACTTGTCGGGAGAATACTTCATAAAACAAGGTAACATTTTTTTTAATGTTTTTTTATTTTTGCACACATATTTTGGTTTATCTTCCTTCTACAATCATTATCTGAAAATTAATGACTCAACTTCAAAGTCACCCTGTATATATATAGTATTACCATTTTTTTAGTCTACAATATAGCCTAAAGTGAGCCTAAATTACACTAGAAGTGTTGAAATGGGATGCCCGTCAAATAAGGAGGTTTTATGTACATACATGTTGCACTGGCTATGAAGTTTAAGTTGACTGCGAGATATTGCCTTTATAAGCAACAACATAAGTATTTTAAGCTACAATATTCATTTTAAATGTTTTAGTTTTTTTACACGTTTTTTTAAATCTTGTTTACAAAAAATAGTTTCTATGACCGGAAGTAAATATTTCAAACCAAAATTTGGGTAGTTTTTACGTTCTTTAATACCTTTGATTTGAAATTTTTTTCCAAATAATAAGAAAAATCTGATGCGCAACTAACTTTCAGCTTTGCATTAAGTAAGTGTATTTGGGACAAGAAACCAATGGAATTATCATCAACACATATGATTAGCAAACAAATCCTCACTGTTGCACCTATGCACTGCCGTTTCCTTCCAGATATATACTAAGTGACATATAAATCCGAACACCCAGTTTAAATGGTTTTATTTTAATAAAAGTTGGTGAATGTATTTATCTTACTGTAAATAACAAGTGAAAAATTTTTCAGCCTTATCAGTTGGACATTCCGGTTTTTATACTGCTTTTTTTTAATTCACTAACGCTCTAAAAATGAATATTTCAGCCGCAGTAAAGAATCAACGTTGGCGGATTTTGGTTCTTGACATCCTTTACGATCGGTTACGATGCCTAGAGTACGGAGACCTGTACGATTTCGTCAACTTAGTGAGTTTGATAGAGGCCGTATAGTGGTACTTCGGGAAGCTGGACTTTCTTTTCGGGCAATTGCAGTTAGAGTGCAAAGAAGTGTAGACACTGTGGTTAGGTGTTGTCGGGCATGGCTTCGAGAAGGCCGTACGCAAAGAGCAAGGGGCACTGGACGCCGCCGTAGAACAGCAGACCGTGAAGATCGCCGCCTAAGATTATTGGCCTTAAGGGACCGTTTCTCCACTACCAGGTCCATTGCAAATGAATGGTTTGCAGAACACGGAAGACCTATTGGCATGCGAAGTGTTTACCGACGAATGAGAAGTTTTGGCTTGTTTTCATACCGGCCACACTGGGTCCTCCCTTTAACTAGAGAACACCGACGTAATCGCCTTGAGTGGTGCAGACAACGGTCACTCTGGGATCAGGAATGGAACAGTATTGTCTTTAGTGACGAGTCTCGATTTTGTTTAGGCATGCACGATGGTCGTGCCAGGGTTAGAACGCGACGTGGTGAAAGGAGGAATCCACAGTTTTTTGTTGAAAGACATGTTCATCACACTGTTGGAGTTATGGTTTGGGGTGCTATAGCTTATGGTTCCAGGTCACCTTTAATCTTCATCAGAGGTAACATGAACGCGCAGAGTTATATCCACGAAGTTCTAGAACCCCATCTTTTACCCTATCTTGACACCCTGGCAGATCCAACTTTCCAACAAGATAATGCCCGACCACATGTTGCAAGAGTCACAATAGGCTTCTTTCAACATAATGATGTCACATTGTTACCATGGCCAAGATCTCCCGACTTATCCCCAATTGAGCACGTGTGGGATATGATGGGTAGGAGATTGCTCAATTTGCAACGTCCTCCTCAGACTCTAGAAGCACTTCGAGAGGAGTTGGTGGTTGCCTGAAATGAGATACCACAGGAGGACATTGACCACCTGATCAGAAGCATGCCTAGGCGCGTTGGAGAATGCGTAGCACATCAGGGTGCATCCACACATTATTAAAGGTCAAAGGGCTTTAAAGCAGTGCAATCATTTTGAAATTTTTATCATTTACTTATTATGCTGCATTAAGTATTTATACAAAATTTTATTAAAATAAAACCATTTAAACTGGGTGTTCGGATTTATATGTCACTTAGTATAGTATACAAGTTACAGCTTAGACCTCCAATAATGCCGTCTCTGACGCAGATGTCATGCCAGAGCCAAACATTGATAGCTCAAGCATCATGACGATTATGCAAAAACCTGCAGAAAAAACCTATATAAGGTCAAAAAAGTCGACAATATCACTTTTCAATATACGTAATACCCCTGCCGGTCAATGGTCAACCTTGCCTTCGCTGGTCGTGTCGCTGATCGATCTTGACAATGGCTGACCTACCCGGCCTTCACTGGCCAGGTCACAGATCGATCTGGTCAAGGTCTGCCCGTTTTAAGAAAATCGGTTTGACCTTGAAATGACCTTCAAAGTCAAGGTCATCTCCAAACTTCGAATATCCCGCTCTTTACATTTCCGGGATTAAAAGTATGTGGTCACGTTTAAGAGAAACAATTTGACCTTGAAGTGACCTTCAAAGTCAAAATCAAGGTCATAGGGAATAGGTAAGGTCTATAGTATTTTCAATGTGATATTTGGATTGTAACAGTAGAATTCATACGAACCTTTGGTCGCTTCCAGGTGAATTGAAATGGTGGAGTTTGATGATAGAATACGGAGGTTTGCGTTGCTGGAAAATCTGGATCTTCCCATAGTTCTCCACGTTTCAAGCAAGCTTTTCGTATCCGTTCGTACTCGCTCATCACCTAGAAGAAGAAGGAATACCAAATAATATGCGATACCACTCGCGAACATAAGTCTTATTCTAGCAAGCTTCATTTCGTTGTACGTAGTTCGTACATGGTGAACTACAGTAGGAATTCACTACTTGACTTGATTTTCAAGCTACTTAAAATCAAGTCAAGCTCAAGTAAAGTATTACATATTAGTAATCTGATACCAAGTCAAATAGTGTTTACGTATATCCATCAAGAACTTGAAAATTCAAGTAGCCTTGGTCAGTTGTCGATCACTTAACTAACAAAGACGTTCAAGAGAAGCCAAATATTGGTGAAATTAAGAATCGTGATGGAACAATATTAACAGGTAAACGACAAATATCCGATGCATTCTTAAATTTTTTCACTAATGTTGGAGAAAATTTAGGAGCCAGTATTAAAAAAAATGTTTTGAACAACATGTTCCCAACTTCCCAATTCATTCTTTTTAGAATGCGTTATTCCGATTGAAGTACAAGAAGCTGTCCTATCACTTAAAACCAAAAAAAGTCCTGGTGTAGATGGTATCAAAGCTGAGCATTTAAGAATAAAAGCCTACGACGTAGCCGAACCACTTTCTTACGTCATTAATTGGTGTTTCCAATCTGGAATTTGTCCTGATGCATTTAAAACAACTGTTATTACTTTATAAAAGCGGTGACAGAATGGAAACATCAAATTATAGACCCATATCAGTACTATCGAATATAGCCAAAATTTTCGAAAAATTACTACAAAAAAGGATATTACAATGTTTGGACAAAAACAAAATTATATGTTCCGGCCAATATGGATTTAGAAAAGGAAAATCTACTACAGATGCAATTTTGGCTGCAATGGATGAAATTAACTCTGATGTAACAAAAAGATACCTACTATTGGTATCTTTGTTGATCTAAAAAATGCCTTTGATACGGTTAACCATGTCGAGCTTCTGGAAGTTATGGAAAGATTGGGATTTAGAGGAACGTCGCAAATCCTTTTAAAAGATTACCTTTCAAGTCGGGCACAGACTGTCAAAATCACTAACACTTACAGTAAAAAAATGTACATCAAGTGTGGTGTGCTTCAAGGAACAGTACTAGGCCCACTATTATTTAGTCTCTACTTAAATGACTTATTCAAAATTAACAGTTCTGGAAAGATTATATGTTTTGTAGATGACACCCTGGTATTATATAAAGCTGCTGACTGGAGCACACTGAAGCAAATAGCAGAAAATTTTAACAGTTAACTTCAAAAAAACAAAATTTATTGCATTTACATCCTATTCAAAATTTTTACCTACCTTTCCGTTAATTATCATATCATATCATATCATATCATGGCCAAAAGACCAAAATCGATAGAGTTAGCACTTTGAAATATCTTGGAATATTTATGGACTCACATCTAAGGTGGGATACCCATATTAAATATGTTATCAAAAAAATTAGAAATGTTGCCTATAAACTCAAAATGCTTGCTAACATTCTTACAGAAAGTTATCTGCGAATCCTATACCATGCCTTAGTTGAAACCCATATAATATACGGCATCACAGCCTGGGGTGCCGCCTGCAAGACATATACATATTTCTGACTCGAATATAGAACAAAAAACTGTTTTGAAAGCCATTTTCCATAAACCAAGGGTATATCCGACGAACAACTTATATCGGGAAACAGGGATACTTGATACAAGACAACTTTATTTCTTACATGCCACCACCTTATACCATAAGTATTGTAATAAAAAAAATCCTATAAACACGAGCATAACACACGATTTCGAATAGGCTCATCTAATATCCAAACACCACACAAAACATTATTCAAAAAATAATTTAAATTGAAAGACTGTGCAGCGAATGACTATACATAATTATATAGAAAACTAAAACTACAAAATTCCAATTACATTAATACTTTTTAGATTTAACAATAATTGTTATACACATATATGTTTGATTGTTAGTTATTATTTTTTTTTTTATATCGAAACAGCCGCGCAGGCAGAAGCCTAAATGCCGGAACACCGCGGCTGCTATGATGATCCCAAAGAAACTTTGTTAATACGATTTTTGAACTGCCTAAGGTTAGTAGAACTGGGAAAAGCTTCCTCCCGTAGTTTGTTCCACAATCTAGACACCCTCGGGACAAAGGAGCGGTCGTATCGGCCAGTTCTGGATGTACGAAGTTTGACACGGTTAGGATGGGACGCCGAAGTCAGGCGGGTCTGTCTGGCAGGCATATCGCGCGGCGGCATCACGGAAGAGAGCTCTGAGGAGCAAAGCCCGTTGGTGTAGCGATAGAAAAGAGCTAGATCGCCGACGGCCCGCCGGTGCGAAAGAGTCCCGAGACTGTCTGCTAGAGAAGAGTCATCGATCAGTCGGACCGCCCTCCTCTGGACAGCATCGAGCATCGACAATGTAGTCGAAGCGGCAGCACCCCAAATGTGTGAGCAATACTCGAGGCTAGGCCTTATCTGGGCCTTGCATAGAGTGAGAAGGTCATGCGGAGAAAAGTACTTCTTAGCCCTAAACAAATAGCCTAGCTTTTTCCCAGCTGCTGCATCTATGAAGAGATGTGTTCGTGCCAGATCAGGTCCTCGGTGATCTGGACTCCGACCAGCCGAAATGAATGGCTCTTTGGTAGAACTCGACCGTCCATCGATACTGTATGAGCGCTAGGACGCTTTTTGTTCGTCAAAGTACAGTACTGTGTTTTGGAAGCATTGAACTGTACAAGATTGTTGCGTCCCCAAGCAGTGATAGCCTCCAGGTCTCTTGTCAGAGAAGAAGTCGTCGCTAGTCTTCTTTTTTCCAGCTCAGCGGCAGAGATCGGCTTGTCACTCTGAATTCCTGCATGTAGAGTGCTGTCATCAGCGAAGCTGTGGATTGGGTTGATCGTGTAAGAAAGGAGGTCGTTGATATGTAAGAGAAACAGTGTTGGAGCCAAGACCGATCCCTGGGGAACACCCGCGTTGACGTTGTGGGATGAAGAGGAGAATCCGTCAATTACGACGGATATCTTGCGGCCAGAGATAAAGTCAGCCACCCATCTGCAAAGCTTTTCTGGGAGGCCGTAGGATGGAAGTTTGCTCAAGAGGGCAGCGTGCCACAGCTGATCGAACGCTTTCGTGATGTCAAGAGCAACGACATGAGCCTCACCATGAGACTGGATGAGTTTACTCCACAGTTGCGTGACGTAAGCTAGGAGGTCCCCTGTGGATCGTTGGTGCCGGAAACCGTACTGCCTGTCGCTAATCAAGCTGTGACGTTCGAGGTAGTCCAGAAGCTCGCGATTTATGCACCTCTCCATCACTTTACTTATAACAGAAAGCAGAGCTATAGGCCTGTATGTTACCTCCCGCATAGTGTGGGGAACCCTTTGAATTGACGGCACTTGGGCGTTGGTGGGGAAGTCCATGGTGGAGTTGGCAGCAAAGATCTTGGCTAGCACTTCCGCCTTGGCCTTTGAGTCGAATACAATAGTTCCATCGTGACACGTAAGTGGTGGAAGGCTACTGTGTGAGAAGTTCTTTTCAATCTGCTTGGCCAGCGTCCAGAAAGACCGACTGCCATTGCGCTGCGACATTACCCTGTGCCTAACTTTTATATCATGCTGGGTTTTGGCATTGCGAACCGCTTCGTTATATTTGTTTCTGGACTCGACGTCGGCTTGTCTGTTTTCTACAGTGGGGTTTTGTAAGTAGGTTCTGTGGGACTTGATCTTCTGCTGGCGAGCAGTGTCACACGATTTGTTGAACCAGCCGTTGGACCCTGGTTTAGGAACTTTCACTGTGTGAGGGATGTATTCCTCCATTCCGACGTGGATAATTTCGGTTATTGAAGAACAGACAGTCGACGCATCCGCGTCAGTGAAACAGACATCTCTCCAAGGAAAGCTAGAGAAGAAGTCTCTGAGCCCCTCCCAGTCGGCATGTCCGTAATGCCAAGTTTTGCGGCCTGTGCGAGTTTCTGCGGCCACAGCGGCTTCTGACCGAAACCTAACCTCCACAACACCGTGATCTGAGTTACCCAGGGGGGACAGGACGGCAGTGCTGTAAGGGGCAGGATGCGTGGTCAGAAAGATATCCAGCAGGCTACTGGCGTGTGACGAGACGCGGGGGAAAAAAGTAGGGCTCGTCACCAGCTGGGTCAGCCCTTGAGTAAGAGCGAACGCTTCGACTGCACGACCTGCTGCATCGGTCTTATTTGAGCCCAGCCAAAGCTCATTATGGGCATTGAAATCACCGAGAAGAACTACACACACTATAAACCACACACAGGCGATGCCTTCTGTGGTTTTTTCATATTTATTTGCCCATTTTTTGTATTTTGGCGAATAAATATTATTATTATTACTTGATAATTTTTGTAATATAAATACGAGTAGATTATTAGTACACAACGGAGAGACTTTACATACATACATATTGAACAAAATAATGTCTTCATCGTATAACAAAAAATAGAACAATAGGACTATAAAACTCAATTTAAAAAAATATTACTCCATCAGCTGATACATATAAATAAAAATGGGACCTTATTGATCGAAATACCTTCATATCATTTTCCACGATCTTTTAGAATAAATCAGATATTTCCCGATTTTCTTACAGAAAAAGGGCTGAAAACTGAATTGTACGAGCCCCTTCCGACTTCAGTTGGCCCACTTCAAGATTTGTACCAAAATATGCCTTTATAAACTAAACATGACGAAACTATTTACTTCTAAAACAATTTATTTTCTCAAAAACATTTTAGATACACTCTAGTCGTAAAAATACATATTTGAAATCACTTAGACCTATAACTAATAGAACATCTGAACATATAAACAATGTGCGAATAAATGCGCGAAGTTAACAAAGCAACAATTGAAAGATTACCATTGGGTAACATCACCTTCATTTTTTATTACGGCTGAAACTCTTTGGGGCATAGTGTTAACCAAGTTTTGGCAAAAAGTTGGTGTAAAACAATCCCATATTTCTTGAAGCT